TGTTGTGGGAGACCAAGCTGTTGAACGGCAGCAGGCAGGATAACAGTGCGCTCAGAGCCGTCATCCAACACTGCATGTGTGTCCATATATTTACTCCCATTGTATACGCGGACTGGCACTACTTTTAACATCACTCTGCCTGAGTGACTGGTTTGATCGACGAATACCATACTTGAGGTAGTGTTAACAGTCAGAATGCTCTCTGCCTGGGCCACATCATGCAGCACAGGAAGATGTTGTTCTCCGCAGGTAGAACAAGGCTTCTTTAATGTGCAGTTAGCTGGAGAATGTCCTCGGCCACACCTCCAACATTTCTTATTATCCTTTATCCAAGCTGCCCTGGCTGGATTTGAGAGCTTGGTGAAGTCGTCACACCCATTGAGGTAGTGCTCCTGATTGCAGCAGTAGGGACAGTATGGTTTGAATCTATCCTTTTTCTTTCCTTGCTGTGCACTAGGGGAAGCTAGGCGTGTGACTGTGGGCTGAGTGGATTCATTACTGCCAAACAATACAGCTGTAGACTTGGGCTTCTGTGTTTTGACTGCCCTCCTTTCCACACTACTGATGTCGTATGAATGTGTCCCTATTCTACGGGATACCTGTAGGGTCTGCACTTTCCTCTCTAGCCACTCAGCTAGGTCTGGTAGCGTGTATGTCCTGTCACTGCCACTCTCAGATTCAGATTCAGATTCAGTTTATTTGCCATTTGCAGTAAAAAAAACACATTGGAATACATTAGCGAAAAGTCTCCAGTGTGCACAGATAAATACAGACATAAAACAACATTAAAAGACAAAAATAAAACAAATAAAACAGTAAACAAAAGTCACTGTGAAATCGATCGACTAAAACAGTTCAAAACAAGTGCAAATCATTAAAGTGCTCTGTTCACACTGATAACAGCTTGTGGATAAAAACTGTTAGCGTAACGAGATGTCCTGCATCTCAGAGAGCGATATCTTCTGCCAGAGGGAAGAAGCTGGAACATGGCTTTCCCAGGGTGGCCAGAAGAGTCATTAACAATCCTAAGAGCTTTGTTTAAAAGTCTGGATTTATAAAGAACCTCCAGAACAGGAAGCTCACAGCCCACGGTCCTCTTTGCAGAGCGGAGCACCTTGTTTAAAGCTCTCTTTTCTTTATCTGTGATGTTTCCAAACCACAAAGAACCAACAAGTAAACTCTCAATGGTGCAGCAATAAAAGTTAAGCAGAATCTTAGAGTTAGTGGTAAATTCTCTAAGTTTACGCAGAAAGTAGAGACGCTGACGAGCTTTCTTAACGACTCGGTCAGTGTTTTTAACCCATTTCAGGTCGTTAGACAGAGTTAAACCCAGAAACTTGCACTCCTCTACGATCTGTACCTGGGAGTTGTCGATTACGACAGGCAAATGAGAACTATTGCGACTGTGGTCGTAGACCAGTTCACATGTTTTCAATGCGTTCAACTGGAGGTTGTTAGTTTTACTCCACTGAACCACATTTTGTATCTCTGCTCTATAAGAGGATTCATCATTGTCACTGATGAGACCGATGATGGTGGTGTCATCAGCATATTTAATGATCAAGTTTGAGTCAGAGGAGGACACACAATCGTGAGTGTACAAAGTAAAAAGCAAAGGACTCAAAATACATCCCTGAGGAGAACCAGTACTCACAGAAACAACATCAGAAAAACAGTCATTGATTTTCACTCGCTGAGATCTGTCAGTTAACCTCTTAAAACCCGCCTCATTTTGGCTTGTGCACAAAAGTTTGGCATACCCAAATGTCTTTGCTTATTTAAAAACACATCTTACATCTCACATGCTTGTGTGATGCATCATTTTAAAGCTAGAGCCTTCTAGTTTATGTAAAAAAACACTAAAATAATGTTTGTCATTCCTATTTTCCTCTGCATCCTTTGAAGTTAGGGAAAAAAACCCAATTTTTTTAGCCTCGCCTAACATTTTCAATTTCTAAAGGCCCTAAAAAAGGCATACTTCATTGTAAGTTCACAATATTCAAACCCTCTGTTCATTGTGTTGTTGACAACAACTGTCTAAAGTTTCAGACTTCTAAGTTTTATAGTTTTTATGCAGTTTCTCCTTTTCATCAAGTAGTGCACATTTGGCACAATTTGGCACAATTGTGCCAAAGTAAATATCTTTACTTACATTTAATCATCATAAAAACAATATTTTTTATTATTGGTACTTATAAGTTACTAATCTATGTGTGTTTTTCTTTTTTAAATGTCAAAGTTATTTTTTTATGAGTGTAAATTCATTGCAGCTTCGAGAGCGTCTTTTGGCTGCCATTACGCACAATTGTCCAGGCCCAACATAAGACAGGACACCATTGTCCCACCCCTTGTTCGAAAGCTTTCCTCATTGGCTACAAGGACATGTCAATCGTAAATCCCGGAAGTAAAATCAAACAAGTTGGGATCACAACAAAGATCAGTGATCAATGCGCAAACAGCAACACTGGCTGTACTCGCGGGACCTCTTGCAGACCCAAAAATTGGTCTAGCTTTTCGGGAGTAGTCTCATTTGAAAGATAAGGAGCTAAGGAACACGTAGATACCAGATGTTTGGGTGAAAAACAAAGCTAAAAGTCCGTTAAAAGTGAAAGAGTAACATCTGTGCTCTTTTTTTTTGTTTTTTTCGCTAAAGATAAATGCAAATTTTTGGATTATTTCTGCAGAATGGATTTTACTTTGGGAAATACAAGTGGATATAATTTTCCTTTGGACTGTTCCAGAGAGAATTATGTATTGCAAGCTGGGAGGAGAGCTTATTTATTTGTACAGCACAAGCCCAAAGGTAAAAAACTATTTTGGAATTGATTTATTTTGTGCCCACATTATGTGTTATATCTTTTGAATGCAAAGTCTGATGTAGTTTACACTTGTATATAAATGTAGATAAGAAAATAAGCTTTAAAATGATATACAGCTTTTGGGGTTTGGTGTTCAAAATACATCTGCTATTGCCAGCAGAACATTTAAAAACATAAAAACGGCCGCCGGCGCGCCGGTTGGAGTAAAGAGGTTAAAAAGTTAAAAATCCATTTACACATGGCAACACTTAAACCGAGAGACATGAGCTTTTCAATCAGTTTACCTGGGACATGGCAGTTAAAAGCAGAGCTATAATTGATGAAAAGCATTCTCGCAACAGATTTACTAGTGTCCAAGTGACTGTAGACAGAGTTCAGAGCAAAGGAGATGGAATCCTCCACACTCCTGTTCTGTCTGTAAGCAAACTGGAGCGGGTCAACACTCACAGGGATCTGGCTCTTAATGAAGTCCAGCACAAGCCGCTCAAAAGTCTTCATAAGGACAGACGTGAGGGCCACAGGACGATAGTCATTCAGGCATGTCACAGGAGTTTTCTTAGGAACTAGAATGATGGTCGACTCTTTAAAGCAGTTCGGCACAGTACAGTTCCTTAGCGACAGGTTGAAAATGTCTGTTAGCACAGGGGCAAGTTGCTCAGAGCACAGTTTCAGGACACGAGGAGGGATGCCGACCGGGCCTGGGGCTTTCCGGACTGTGGTCCTGGACAAGACACGCCTGACTTCCTCCTGAGTCACGGTGAAGGGACCTTGATTGAAACAATCAGGGAATACAGTAGGACAGGCATCAGCGGATTCAAAGCGACACTAGAACATGTTCAGCTCGTTTGGCAGAGCTTGGCCAACAGATGCAATTTTCCCAACGCTAGGTTTCCACGATGTGATGGCTTTAATACCGTTCCACATGCGCCGAGGGTCATCTTCCTCAAAATAACTCTTTAACCTGTCCCCGTAACTGCGCTTTGCAGATTTAATAGAACGTTTCAATGAGTAACAGGATAGCTTATAAGCAACTGTATCATTTGATTGAAACGCCAACGCACGCTCATGCGAAATTTCAGTTTCACTTCCGCGTTCATCCAAGGCTTTTGACTAAAATGTTCTTTAATGACCTTCTGTGGGACACAACAGTCAATACAGAAGCGTATGTATCCAGACACAGCGTCACAGAATTCATTGACGTCCTCTGACTGAAACACAGACCAGTCCGTAGCATCAAAACAACCTTGTAGCTTCATGCTTGCCTCCTCAGACCAACACTGCACAGTGCGAGAGGTTGGTTTATGTTCCCTGCTCCTCTGAGTATACGAAGGAAGAAGGAGAACAGAGGAGTGGTCAGACTTTCCAAAAGGAGGTCTGAGATTGGACCTGTAAGCTCCCTTCACGTTACTGTAGCAGTGATCCAGAACATGTGCTCCTCTTGTAGCTTGAGTCACGTGTTGGTAAAAGTTCGGGAGTACAGACTTTAAATTACATTTATTGAAATCCCCAGTAACAATGATGACTGCGTTAGGATGAGCAGACTCATGTTTGTGAAGGATCTCGCTCAGATCGTGTAGGGCTACTTTGTAATCCGCATGTGGGTGAATGTAAACAGCACATAAAAATATCACTGAAAACTCACGGGGAAGATAAACAGGGCGGCAGCTCAAGACCAGGCATTCCAGATTGGCAGTACATGTTTGGTTCATGATACGAGTGTCCGTGCACCAGCGCTGATTAATTAAAAAGCACACACCTCCGCCTCTGGCCTTGCCCGTGGTCTCCTTCACTCTGTCCGAGCGGTGAGCGGTGAATCCCGGGGGCTGAACAGCAGAGACCGGGACGTTCGAGTGGAGCCACGTCACCCGTCACCCGCGTGATCCCGAATGTGCAGAAGTGTTTGCCGATCATATTTCAGGGCAGGGAATTTCAAAAGATCCAAGAGGACTTGGTATTTGTAATCCTCAGTTAGATGGCTGTGGGGGCTGAGCACACTGTCCAAACCTTTTTTGAGTAACAGAAAATCACTCTCCTTCCTTGAACTGAATGTAGAAAGCTTAGGCTTGGGGATGCCGTATGAGGAGGCAATAGCCATTTCCACCATGCTAGGGACATTAGCACTGACAGGGGGAGGAGCTAAATATGGCTGGCTGACAGGAGCTGTAGACATATGACTGCTGTATGGAGTATATGCATTGGGATACGCATACTGCTGTCTACTATGTGGATGATAGACAGGTGCACTGTATGGCTGTGAGGGAGCCGGTGCACTGTAGGGCGTGTCTTGAGGAGCAGCTACATGCGGTGCAACTACACTTCTGTGTGAGGTGTCGTACAGAGGGGGCAACAGAGCTGCTTGAGCGGGATCTACAGGAGGAGGAGGCGGTGGCCAGTACTCACCGGTCTCTGCTCCCTGGACTATACCTGCTGTGTAGTTTGGAGGCACTGCTGGTAGTAAAGGAGCTGTCACTGGTGCTGAAACACTAGCTTGCCCTGTCGGGGGAGGATGCTGCACAGGAGCTATGGGTGACACAGGTACTATGGGGGAAGAATGCCCTGAACGTTCTGATGCATGCCATGACTGAAGAGGCTGGAGCTGTGGCATGCTGCTGGACTGCTGTTGCTGTTCCTGGGCATATCTATGCTTGGCAGGTTGGGCGCTTTGTGTCAGCCGAACGTTGCTCATTTCCTTCTGAAGATCCCTCATTTCTCGACCAAGTGCCTGATAAGCTGACTCCAAATGCTGCATTCTGTCTTCATCATCATCATGAGAGGATGAAGTTTGACCAGCTCTCAGGGCTTTGTGGTGGACGTTGGAATGAAAAGCCAACCTCATAATCCTCCAGATGTCCGGGAATGCGACGCACTCTGCTGGGACGGGGACGGTGTAGTGGCTGCTCATCATAAAAGTCTCTGGATGCGGCCATGACGCAGCTCTTGGACATCCGGCTCGAGGGACCACTTGTAAAAGATTATAATGTATTTGAATGCTGGGGTCCAAAAGTCTGGCCTAAGTCTTCGGCAAGAAAGACTGCATCAGATCCAGAGTAATAGAATGAAAGGTTTATGTGTGTGTGTGTGTGTGTGTGTGTGTGTAACATAGGAATTAGCATAAAGCATACAAAGTACACCACAACAGGCATATAAATTAACTATGTTGATATGAATAAAATAAAACACTATAAACGACGTAATGCACAACATCAAATGTATAATTATCATTGTTGCACTTTAAAACTGTATCCTGAGCCAGTGTCATTGAAGCAGGGAAATTTGAACAAGCACTGTGCAAGCAATTATATTGAAATGGAAGGAGTATCAGACCACTGCAAATCTGCCAAGACCCGGCCGTCCCTCCAAACTTCCATCTCAAACAAGGAGAAGACTGATCAGAGATGCATCCAAGAGGCCCATGATCACTCTGGATGAACTGCAGATAACTACAGCTGAGGTGGGAGAGTCTGTCCATAGGACAACAATCAGTCGTGCACTGCACAAATCTGGCCTTTATGGAAGAGTGGCAAGAAGAAAGCCATTTCTCAAAGTTATCCATAAAAAGTCTCGTTTAAAGTTTGCCACAGGCCACCCGGGAGACACACCAAACATGTGGAAGAAGGTGCTCTGGTCAGATGAAACCAAAATCAAACTTTTTGGCCAAAATGCAAAAAGGATACAGTGCCTTGTGAAAGTATTCGGCCCCCTTGAACCTTTCAACATTTCGCCACATTTCAGGCTTCAAACATAAAGATATCAAATTTTAATTTTCTGTCATGAATGAACAACAAGTGGGACACAATCGTGAAGTGGAACAAAATGTATTGGATAATTTAAACTTTTTTAACAAATAAACTGAAAAGTGGGACGTGCAATATTATTCGGCCCCTTTACTTTCAGTGCAGCAAACTCACTCCAGAAGTTCAGTGAGGATCTTTGAATGATCCAATGTTGTCCTAAATGACTGATGATGATAAATAGAATGCACCTGTGTGTAATCAAGTCTCCGTATAAATGCACCTGCTCTTTGATAGTTTCAGGGTTCTGTTTAAAGCGCAGAGAGAACCATGAAGACAAAGGAACACACCAGGCAGGTCCAAGATACTGTTGTGGAGAAGTTTAAATCCGGATTTGGATACAAAAAGATTTCCCAAGCTTTAAACATCTCAAGGAGCGCTGTGCAAGCAATTATATTGAAATGGAAGGAGTATCAGACCACTGCAAATCTACCAAGACCCGGCCGTCCCTCCAAACTTTCATCTCAAACAAGGAGAAGACTGATCAGAGATGCATCCAAGAGGCCCATGATCACTCTGGATGAACTGCAGATAACTACAGCTTAGGTGGGAGAGTCTGTCCATAGGACAACAATCAGTCGTGCACTACACAAATCTGGCCTTTATGGAAGAGTGGCAAGAAGAAAGCCATTTCTCAAAGATATCCATGAAAAGTCTTGTTTAAAATTTGCCACAAGCCACCTGGGAGACACACCAAACATGTGGAAGAAGGTGCTCTGGTCAGATGAAACCAAAATCGAACTTTTTGGCCACAATGCAAAACGATATGTTTGGCGTAAAAGCAACACAGCTCATCTTCCTGAACAGAGCAAGATGGCGCCGGGTCAGGGCGCCTCAGTAAGAGCTCTGGTGTGCACTGTCTGTTCTATGTTGTTTATATTCGTCTGTGATACACTTGCCACCGTGAAGTACGACCAAGAGACACTTCTCTACATTCGGGACCGAGCTTGCGGAGTATCGCAGGTCTTACCCGAACTGAGGTGCTTGGACTTCATTGAGTGCCCCACTCGTGAGGCCCGTCAAACATGGCAGGCGGGCCGCGAACAGAGCGAGGGACTGGGCGTCTCCACCGTGCTCTCCGCAGTGTGGAGCTGGGTACCGGGAGCCGACGTAGGAGGCGCAGACACCGGGGAAAACGAGGCGGTCTGCATGTGAGATGCCGCTCCTGCAGGACCGCTCACCGCGCGGACAGAGAAAAGGAGACCACGGGGAAATCCAGAGGTGGAGGTGTGTGCTTTTTAATTAATCAGCGCTGGTGCACGGATACTCGCATCGTGAACCATACATGTACTGCCAATCTGGAATGCCTGGTCTTGAGCTGTCGCCCTTTTTATCTTCCGCGGGAGTTTTCTGTGATATTTTTATGCGCTGTTTACATCCACCCACGAGCGGACTATACTGTAGCACTACAGGATCTGAGCGAGATCCTTCATAAATACGAGACTGCTCATCCTAATGCAGTGATCATTGTCGCTGGGGATTTTAACAAATGTAATTTAAAGACTGTACTCCCAAATTTCTGCCAACATGTGACTCGAGCTACAAGAGGAGCACAGATCCTGGATCACTGCTACAGCAATGTGAAGGGAGCTTACAGGTCCAGTCTCAGACCTCCATTTGGAAAGTCCGACCACTCCTCTGTTCTCCTTCTTCCCTCATACACTCAGAGGAGCAGGGAACATAAACCAACCTCACGCACTGTGCAGTGTTGGTCCGAGGAGGCTAGCATGAAGCTACAAGGGTGTTTTGATGCCACTGACTCGTCTGTGTTTCAGTCAGAGGATGTTAATGAATTCTGTGACGCTGTGACTGGATACATACGCTTCTGTATTGACTACTGTGTCCCACAGAAGGTCATTAAAGTACATCTCAGTCAAAACCCTTGGATGAACGCGGAAGTGAAACAAAAACTTCATGAGCGTGTTCTGGCGTTTCAATCTAACAATACAGTTGCCTATAAGCTATCCTGTTACGCATTGAAACGTTCTATTAAATCTGCAAAGCGCAGTTACGGGGACAGGTTAAAGGTTTATTTCAAGGAAGATGACCCTCGGCGCATGTGGAGCGGTATTAAAGCCATCACGTCCTGGAAACCTAGTGCTGGGAAAATCGGATCTGTTGGCCCAGCTCTGCCTAATGAGCTGAACTCGTTCTACTGCCGCTTCGAATCTGCTGATGGCTGTCCTACTGTCTTTCCTGATTGTCTCAATCAAGGTGCGTTCACCGTGACTCAGGAGGTAGTCCAGCGGGTCTTGTCCAGCACCATTGTCCCGGAAAGCCCCTGGCCCGGACGGCATCCCACCCCGTGTCCTGAAACTGTGCTCTGAGCAACTTGCCCCTGTTTTAACAGACATTTTTAACCTGTCGCTAAGGAACTGTACTGTGCCGAACTGCTTCAAAGAGTCGACCATTATCCCAGTTCCTAAGAAAACTCCTGTGACATGCCTTAATGACTATCGTCCTGTGGCCCTCACTTCTGTCCTAATGAAGACTTTTGATGGGCTTGTGTTGGACTTCATTAACAGCCAGATCCCTGTGAGTGTTGACCCACTCCAGTTTGCTTACAGACAGAACAGGAGTGTGGAGGATGCCATCTCCTTTGCTCTGAACTCTGTCTACAGTCACTTGGACAATAGTAAATCTGTTGCAAGAATGCTGTTCATTGATTATAGCTCTGCTTTTAATTGTCTTGTCCCAGGTATACTGATTGAAAAACTCATGTCTCTCGGCTTAAGTGTTGCCATGTGTAAATGGATCTATAGCTTTTTAACAGACAGTTCTCAGAGAGTGAAAATCAATGACTGTTTTTCAGATGTTGTTTCTGTGAGCACTGGATCTCCTCAGGGATGTATTTTGAGTCCTTTACTTTTTACACTGTACACTCATGATTGTGTGTCTTCCTCAGACTCTAACCTGATCCTTAAATATGCTGATGACACCACCATTATCGGTCTCATCAGTAATAACGATGAATCGTCTTATAGAGCCGAGATCCAAAACATGGTTCAGTGGAGTAAGGCTAACAACCTCCAGCTGAACGCATCCAAAAAATGTGAACTGGTCTTTGATTTTAGTCGCAATAGTTCTCATTTGCCTGTCGCAATCGATAACTCCCAAGTGCAGATTGTAGAGGAGTGTAAGTTTCTGGGTCTAACTCTGTCTAATGACCTGAAATGGGTTAAAAACACTGACCGGGTCGTAAAGAAAGCTAGTCAGTAGAGACGCTTCCTGCGGAAACTTGGAGAATTTACCACTAACTCTAAGATTCTGCTGAACTTTTATCGCTGCACCATTGAGAGTTTACTTGTTGGTTCTGTGTCTGTGTGGTTCGGTAACATCTCAGATAAAGAAAAGAGAGCTTTAAACAAGGTGCTCCGCTCTGCTAAGAGGACTGTAGGCTGTGAACTTCCTGTCCTGGAGGCTCTTTATCAATCCAGACTTTTTAACAGTGCCCTGAGAATTATCAATGACTCTTCTGGCCACCCAGGAAAAGCCTTGTTCCAGCTTCTTCCCTCTGGCAGAAGATACTGTTCTCTGAGATGCAGGACATCTCGTTATGCTAATAGTTTTTTTTTCCACGAGCTGTTATCAGTTTGAATAGAGCACTTTCATGTTTTTGCACTAGTATAGATCTGTTTTAGTTGGTCAACTTCACAGTGACATTTGTTTACTGTTTTTAAAATTTGTTTTATTTTT